CCGAGCCAGTCCGAAGACAGCTCCAGCAGGGAAAAGAAGCGCAAGACCGAAGCCAAGTGCCCACGGGCGTGCAAATCCTCAGCCACCAGGGATGCTGAAAGGGAGGGAACTTGCACGTGAAGTCACACCTGGGGCCACATCATGAAGAAGGACTAGGGCGAACAAGCATGCATTGAGGTGCTCCAACTCGCCCCCCCCCCCCAGGTAAACCTGAACGATTGTAGTCAACTTCCCCCATTCAAGTGCGCGGTCCAACAGAAGGAATACCAAGCCTCCAACGAAAAGAAAAGGCAGTCAGCCAGCCAAGAAGACTCCGGCACCTCGTAATGCACCCAATAAGGAAAAGAGGAGCCAAACTCAAAAGACAAAGGCTTCATTATCGAGGCGTAATCCGGGTCTCGTGGGAGGTAAGCCGCAAGGGCCTCCCACACCTTCCTCGGTGGGATGTGGAAAGCCAAAAACCTCCGGAAGGAGGGAACCGAAGAACCCAATAAAACTCGGAACCGAACCTGAGGAGGCGATGTACTCATAATAAAATCGTACAGGGAAGGGAATAGGAAAACCTCTTCCCCTGTAACAAGCCCTGCGCCAAGGGTACCAACACCCAAGCAGGGTCAATTGGGGCCCAAGCCACCCCCAAGTCAACTCCTTCCAAGCCCCAGAATCCTCCAAGTCAAGACCCGGGGTCGAGCCGTCCTCCAAACCTTCTGTCTCTGGAGAAAAAGCAGAGTCTACTGGAAAAGCTGGGATGAAGGGGGCCCGCTGGCGTGGCCCAAAAGCTCTGGCAGGAGGAACAGGCTCAAATGCCACCGCCGCCGATCGGAAAGGGCAATCCTTGAAGCTGCCCGAGTCTCACTACCATTATAATCAAAGCGGGGCAACTGCGGGGCATTTGGAAGGAAACCAACATCGCACATTGCTGAAACCTAAACCTCGCATGCAACGCTAAAGCTGCCTACACCCAATTATCGGTCTCAGTGAACTGGGTGAATGGAATACAGGCAAAGAACATCACTTGCAGAACTCTGGGTCATAAGAGTCACTGACCCCAACAGGCAGCAAGGCGGAGGCAAAGACGGTGAGTGTCACCCTGAGACAAGAAGACAGAGCAACCTTCAAACTCGCACAAGGCGAGGTGGAACTCAGAAGTCTCCTTCATCGGACCACTGAGCCCCAATGGGGGTTTCCATGGACCCTAGGCTGACTGCTAAGGAAAGCCCAGGCGTGGACCCTAGGCTGACTGCTAAGGAAAGCCCAGGCGAGGTACTGCTAACCGGTTATTCTAGAGCTACCACCACCTAGACGTGTAACACCTACCATCTACAACCTGACATGTGCAAGCACAGGGACCTAGTGGAGGGCCACCAAAATCCTACAAGTGGTCCTACCGCAACACCAGGCAAAACAAAAGAAAAACAAAAGTAAAACCCTGCAAAAGTACGTCTCCAGGTGAACAGAACCGGTCACTATGCATATATCAGACTGCTGCCCAGTACCTCACATCCCAGCCAGCGACGAAACTACCTCCTACCCAAGGGCAAACAGTAGTAAGAACCTACCCAGCTGAACTCCCAATGGCGGGCAATCACGAGCAGTGACAGAACCACACGGAGGTAGCTGCTCTTGAACGTCTCAAGGAAGATAACCCTAAACTGCAAAGGCAGTACTTACAGGGCACCTAGGGAAGGTAGCCCTAGGTGCATGCAGCCCCAGTACTCTTGTGTTACGTCTGGCTCACACACCACCAAAACAGAGCAACAACACCGCACTGCAGTACTGCGCAAAGAGTGGAGCCAGAGAGATCGACCGTTCACCATCACAACAGCCTCTTGAAGTGAGCAAAGTTGCCGGCACGGAGGTCTGAGATCCCCCCGTCCCCCTCCCAGGGAGGAGGGGGGATTGTGCAGACGAAGGCGTGGCGGTTGTGGTGATGTCATGTTTGTTCACTTGTTTTTGATTGGGGAGTTCTGTTTGCTAGTTTGGCTTTCGGTTTGCAATTTTTGACCAGCAGTAGTTTGTTTTGGAATTCCTACCTTTCTGGGTGCCTGACCTGGTAGATGGCAAACAAAGACTGCTTCCAATTACACGGGGGTGTCTTTAGGCCATTGCTCCTCGTGCTTCTCTTGAGGGGGGCCAGGTTCTGGCTCTGGTCCCCGGTAGGCTTAGAATAAGCCTACTGGGAAACAGAACAAGCCTTAGAATGTGATATATTAATATAATAAAATGTGTGAACCTCCTACCCAAGGGCAAACAGGAATAAGAACCACCCCAGCTGAGCTTCAAGGGTGGGCAATCACCGAGCAGCGACAGAACCACAAGGACTGGCTAACCAAGCTGGTATGGTGAGTCAAGACAATAATTGAGGTCGCGACACAGTCAGTTGACCCTCCCTTACTCGCCAACATTCCTACTCCCACTATACTGTTTGTACTGTCTTTACACTACACACACACATTATATGTAAGTATCTACATGTTTTGTTCACCATAACTGTACAACTAAGCTGGTATGGTGAGTTCAGACAATTAGAGGTCACCACACAGTCAGCCGACGCTTCCCTCCCTCCCTCACTCGTTCAAGCCCAGATGCACTAACATTCCTACTCCAACTATACTGTTAGTGGTGTTATTACACTATATACACACACATTATATATAAGTATCTGCATGTTTTATTCACCATAACTGTACAACTAAGCTGGCATGGTGTCCAAACAACATAGTGGCCATAACAAAATTGCATGACAAGAGAGACAGCAGCCAGCAGATGACACCATCTCCCTCACAAAAATGGCTCCTCCCAACATAATTCTTTTGCTCTTATTTCACTATATACAGTACATATGTTATAAGTATCAACATTTGTGTTCACCATAGCAAACCACTGAGCTGGTATGGTGAGTGCAGAAAATAACAGGTGGCCACACAAGAGTCTGCAGACGCTACCTCCCTCAGCATTATTAATCCCATCATACTACATACACACAGTGCTAATTATCACAACAATCCTGCTATTATCAGAATCCTGGTCTTTTTTATCAGTCAAGGGTCTTCTGTAATACTATCATCGCTAAATAACACCACTTACATATTTATTTTGACAATTTTAGGCAACACTGTGGTCACAAACTGAACAGCAGTGCTGTGAGCTCGTGCTGCGTGCGCCAGCCTTGGTGGCTCACTAAGTACTGAGGTTCTCACACCAGGGAATGTTGCCTACAATTTTTTTTTAAATGGCATCTCTTTAAATGGCGTAATAGTGGCTTTAGGCATTGTATGTGCTAGCTCTATCTATAAATCCATCAATTTTTGTATTTCACCTTGTATGTATGAACTTTACCTGAATAAATATTTGTATTTGTTTTGTCTTTACAAGAGCTCTGAGGAAGCTGATGAGAACCCCGTGTAGCTGTGGGACTTTTAAATCTTGCATGGTACTCCCACGCATAGCTGTTGTGCGCAATTCCGCAATAGTTACTCACCACAGCTATTCATGTGTTGCGCAGTTTAACCCTTAGACCCCACATATTACCACGAATATAGGGGGCATAATATAAAAAAATATTCGAATTATGTAAAATTAACTTAAAATTTTTAAACAAATCTCCAACTTATTGGCTTCAGTGTCATGAAACTTTCAGAAAAATATTTTCAGAAATTGATTTTAGACGAATTTTTGAAAAATAAGAATGTTTTATTGATAAGAATAATAGCACCTAATAACTGGAACTGAAGGATTATGCAGTAATAAAGAGATGCAAGCACCTGTCCGATGCTCCAAGAAGAACAATAGTAGTAAGAGGATTTTGTTGTAACCTTTACATCCTGGAGAGTGCATGTTTCCCTAACTATGTGAAGATAGAATGAAATTGGTCAACACATAAATCAGTCACAACTCCCAAAACTTGACTCAAATTTTTTTTGGCTGATTTTTTATCTGATTTCAAACTATTTTCATTGTCTCTTTAGGGTTTTTTTATGATTAGGGACCAGATTAGGGCTTTTCACTTTAATAAAGTATACCCTAAATATATCTCCTAAATATATCTTGTTTTTTCTTGACTTCATTTCAACACATTTCAACAACACAACACACCTACAACTTTCACATATTTAAGAACAAATGCCAAACAATGTTTATTAAAACATACAATTAAATTAACAAATTAAATCTACTTTTATTCAAGTTGATAACTTCAACTTCAATTATCTCTGAAACCAGAGTTTCAACTTTGAGTGGCTTCTAAAATTCCAGTTATTAACCGATTCTCACTATTTTGACACATTGTTGTGTGCTGAGCTGTCTGTTCTACAATCCCTTCAGAATAGATTTTTCATAAACTTTATACATTTGGATTTATAATTTTTTTTATCTAAATTTGCCGCATGTTTCAAATGTCCTTTTGACAATTTTTTTTACAGTAAGCTATACTGAAAACCTAAATTCTAATTTGATGAAAATGAATATCATATGAACATTAAATGAACAATTAATGATATTTCATATTTGTTATTATGAATTGAAAATTTGAAGTTTTCAATATTCCATTTTAAAATTAATTTTGATTCTCTTGTTTTTCAAGTTATGCTGTGATCATTTAGACAAAGTTGGAGCATTTGCCTAAATGATTATGCAAAGAAAATTGGAAAGTGTTTGTGCAAGTTAAAAACTTATGTAAAATTATTTTTTTCAAATCACATGTGTATGTATTGCGCGGTCTAAGGGTTAACAAGAAGATATTTTTTTTTAAATAATTTTTTTGGCGCCCCACAGGGGTGTTATATTTTCATGCATTGCAGTTCAGTGATTAAGCACTTCTTTACAAATAGTGGTAGATGGTTAATGGGCTCTAACAGGAGTCAGTATGTACCAAATCCTCTGGAAACTTTAATACTACTGTAGTTTTTGATAAATGAGAGGATAAAGAACAGAGCATAACTTTACATTACGATACAGTAGTACATGGATTTACATTATGATTTTGATAAAAGCATATTTACCTTATCTATATTTTTGTAGCTTTCCTTGTCTTCTTCAGTACTTTCCACTTCATTGAGATCTTCTGCATCCGAAAAGACTTCTAATCCATCATCATCATCGTCATTACAATCAAATAAATAATTCCGAAGCAACATCTGTGTCATAGTCTTAAGTCCTGGCTTCTCTTTGACTACTTCAGAAATAAGGTATAGTATGCCACAAATCATGTTACAACTCTGGTATTGGCATGTCTGAAAAAGTCAATTATATTCATTTGCTATCACCAAATTGTTAATGCATTTTTTTTTACTACTTTATTGTTATGGACTCAGCCCCAAGCAAGAGCAATGTGCTAGAATGAGATGCTAACGAGTTGTCCCATTAATGAGTACTGTACTAAGATTTGACTATCTTCCCCTTTGGCTGTCTATTTTTACACCTGAAAAATTGGCATTTTCCAAATTCCAATGCAGCTAACTTCACAATAGCCAGATAAGCTCAAGTTTCTCAAGAATTTCTCAACCAACATCTCATTTTACCCTTAATACCATATATACAGTTGACTCTTATATAATGCATGTTTATACAAGAGGAGAGGAGGAGGTGATGACCTAGTGGTAAAATGAAGAACATGTAGACAACTTAAAATATGAGGCACCACTAGGAGCCAGTGACCACTGCATTACTGTGTTTGATTACACTGTAGACCTGAGAGAGTTGGAAACAGTAGGAGGAAGGAAGAATACAGAAGAAGGGGGGCTACTGGTGGCTTAAGGATTATCTGCAGGAAGTTCTGTGGGTGACTGAAATAGAAGGAAAGTCAGCAAATGAGATGATGGAACTCATAACACAGAAATGCAAAGAAGAAACAGAATAGTTAATATCTCTCAGGAGAGAAGTGAACGAGAGGATATTGGCAAATTCACAGTTCAACAATGTAAGGAGGAAACAGAGAAGACATAGAAGGCAAAGGAAAGAGTATAGGGACATGGGTACAAAGGGGAGCATGAATTGATGACACCATCGCTGCATTTGCAATTGTTTTAACTTTTTTTTTCCTGCACACCACAGCTGTGTCATATAAAAACAGGAGCGCAGCCTAAGGGCTAAAATGCTATAAACATACTGAGCATGTGTATCTACGTATGTATGCATGTATGTGTATATACACCTAAACATGCTAATGCTAACCTCTCATGCAGATAATATCAGCTGGAAAAGTACAATATTAAAAATTACAGTACGTACCTGGATGGTGCTGGATGTTCAGAACATCCAGAGTTTCACTACATAAACTGATACTATTTTAATAATACAAATAATAACAAATAAAGAAAATACAGAACAATATTAACTAGAAGTAAATATAAAACTGCAGGTATTAATTAAGACCTGTCAAAACTAGCATCAAAGCCACTGGCTATATCAAAGCACTCCACACCACCAGACAACAACGCAAAAATTGTAAGGAGGAAAATATAATTGAAGATTGCACAAACCGACAAGATGACAAAATTAAAATATGGTCCTTCAAGTGGCTACTAAAGTACAACTCCAACAAGTACAAAGTAATGAAGATAGGTATGTGGAATTAGAGACTGGACACAAGGCATCACATGGGAGAGGAAACCCTATTGAAACTGGACAGAGAAATTTTTTGGGGCGGGAAGATGTTGATACGACCCCAACCTGTCAACAGAAGCCCTACATTAAAAGAATATCATTAGCTGCAAATGGAGGGTTGGCTAATATAAAAATTAGTATATAATATAATATAAATCTAAACATAGTTGTTCAGAATTTAGTATTGTTTATCATTTATGTCAGATCAGTTCTGGAATATGTGGCACTAGCATGGAGGCTTTTATCTCATTAAGCACAAAAATGAAGCTAAAGAAAGTTCAGAGGTATGCCACCAAACTTGCCCCAAAGATGAGACATACAAGCTACGAGGAAAAACAACAGGTGTTAAAAAACCAGCTTTGAATGTAATGAAATGCCATTTTCAGGGTGTGACCCGGAGGCTGCCCGGAACTATACCAGGCTGATATGCTAATGTCAGACTTTGGCATCAGTAATGTGTATGGAGTTCTAGGGCCTACCAGAGACCACGGCCAGAACCTGGCCCCCCTCAGAGAGGCAAGGGAAGCAATGGCCTATAGAAACCCCCGTGTGGTTGGAAGCCTTCTATGTCTGCCATCAACTGGGTCAAACATTCACAAAGGTAAGCATCCCACAACAACCCCCTATTCTGGTTAAAATTGCTACCAAAAGCCGAACTAGTGGATAGAACTCCATAACAGAAAACAAGCAAACAAGTATGACGTCATACGTCACTGCGCCGCTGTCTGCGCAGCTCCCCCTTCCCCGGGAGGGGGAAGGGGGAGCCCTAGAGCTCTCACGCCGACTATCCACCCATCAGTTCTGAGGTTGGATGTCAAAACACGCGAAAAACCGCTGACCGGAGGGAGGGAGGGAGGGTTGCCGGGGAGCCTCCGGGCCACACCCACAAAATGGAGTTTCATTACATTCAACACTGGTTCTGGGGGGAGCCCCGGCGGCTCCCCGGAGCTAACTACCCACAGAGGAAGGTCAAAGGGACGGATCCGGGAGGTGAACACCACGCACCCCTAAACGGAAAGCAAGACAACTGGCAGCAACTGCCAACCCAAGGCGACACAGGCCCGAACGGGTCCGGGAACGACACGAGACAACAAGCAGCCAAGCCCCTGTACGACCGCCAAAAAGCCCCATGCCTGAAGTCAGCAAGGACACGCCGCCTAGACGGCAGCAAGAGCAGCGAATCCATGAACGCCATGGGCACGGGCAAAGAACACAGGCTGGCTAGCCGCAATAACACTGCAGACGACCCGGGACACCTTCATTCGCGAACAGGGAGGAACGAAACCGGATCAACCCAAAGTGAGCCCAGGACACAGAAGCCGCGGTGCGCAAATAACAGCGGAGGGCCGCAACTGAACACAAAATACGACGCACCCCCGGCCTGACCGACCAAGCACCAACAAACCAAGGACCCCCCCCCCCCCGAGAATACAGCAGCCTCACCCTGTGCCAGAAAAGAGGGAGACTGCTGCAACCGAACAAACCAAACGCCATGACCGAAGGAGAGCAAGAAGCTCAGCGACCTGAGCCCTAGAGGCAAATGCCAACAGGAAAAGAGCCGTCAAAACAAACCTGAACCGAAGGGGCCACCACCAACCGAAGAGAAGAAAGAGCATGCTGTCCAGAGACCAGGACGGCCCAAGCGGCGCAAGAACAGGCCGGAGGTGAAACAACGCACAAGACAGCTTACGAACGATGCAGATGTAACACCAAGACCGAAAGCAAGCCGAAGCGGATCCACCAGCGCCGCTCAAAACGAGGCGACAGTATGCGGGAAGTCAACGACCCCCAACCCCCACCAGAAAAGCCAAGCCGATGCCAACAAACGCAGCCACCTAAGAAGGGATAGAAGGAAAAGGAAGGACCCCCAAAATACCCCATACTGCGGCCAAGAAAAGCACGCAAGTGGGACACCAACAACGAAGCCACCAGACCACCTACCAAAGGTGAGAGGCTCGAGTCAGAACCCAACCAGCCCCGTCAAGGTTCATCCAAGGCTAGGAAGAGGTGGAGCCGCAGAAAGATCTCAAGCGCGACCACCGAGGCAGAGCCGGAAACCCAAGCCGGCAAAGACGGAGCTGGAACGTCTGTCGAACAGAAAACCACCCAACGCGAGCGAGCGAGCCAGGAGATCGGAAACGACGGGCCCGACGCGAGACCCCAGAGAAGGAACACTGTGAGACCCTGAAAAAGCCACACACAGCCACAGCTGCAAGTGCAGACCTGACAGAGGCCAGGAGATGACAGGGAAGCGACAGGGGAGAGGCAGGACAAAAGAGCCAAAGCTCAACGCCAGGCACAAAACTAAAGCAAAATGTCACACCACAACATCCTAACACAGTAACAAGCACCACATGTCACCATGGTACACATTACCAATGCACACACGCACCAGCAACATGCACCACACGCAACAGGCAAAATGCAACATGTAACATGCAACATGCAACCGGAAGTAACGTCTCGCGGCGAAGGCAGAAAATGGCGGGGTCTGACTCCAGACAGGGTCAAACGTAGATACAAGAGAGCCCAGCAGGCCCAGGAATCTGCACACTAAGCGACCGACAGTGGAGAGGCGGGACCAAGAGCCAAAGTACAACTAGAGGAGGACAACTAGAGGAGGACAACTAGGGGAGAACAGAGAATCCAATGTTCCATCAATGTTTGTATCTCACCTTGTAAGTATGTACATTACCTGAATAAACATCTGAACTTCAATGGGAATGTACATGGAAAAGCTAAGCCAGGTACAGCAAGATCGGCAAGGAATGATGACCCAAAAAGCATGGGAACAAATAACCCAAACAAGGAAGGCCCCGGGAAGAAGCACGGAAGGGCCAAACAAAACGCCACAAGCGCACTCCAATACGCAACCGCAGTATAAAAACCGCAGCAAAACATCACCACATAACACCCTTGACACAGGAACATGTACCACACAACAGGCACCACCACTTACGCACCAAGGAACACGGTTGAGGTGGGGGCCCCGAACACAAGCATGAAACCTGCTTGATACCTGCTTGATGGGGTTCTGGGAGTTCTACTACTCCCCAAGCCCGCATGGGAGGACATGCATAGGAGAGGGACTGGATGGGCACAGTCAGGAGCCGCCCCGTATGGGGCGAGAGGCCTCCTGCAATCACCTGCGGGCTGACGTCCGAATTGGGAGGATAAGAACAAGAGCTGCCATGTATAGGCCAATAGGCCTGCTGCAGGCACCCCTCTTAGTATGTTCCATGTACTCATGTACGTATATACTCCCATTCGTACCCCCAAAAACGAACCAGCGCCTGGACGAAGGAGACGCAAGACCGCATAAATTCACCTGCAGAACAATGGCATTGAAGGGTCAAGACAATGTCACAAGGCCGGTGCCGCCTGAGGCGGCTAGGGCCTTGGCTGCACCCGCAGCCAAGAACCGGGAGCACCATCCTCGGAAGCAAGCCAGAGCTGCCCATACAGAAGAGGAGGGGAGAGTTGACGGAGGCGCCCCCTACCTAAAATGCAGGGAAAACCCGGCGTCCTCCCCATAGCGGCACCCCAGAACACTCCCAGGAGAAACGGGGCACGGACTGGAGAATGAGACAAGTGAGAGGCAAAACACACTAGAGAAAATGGACGGAGA